GCCGATATGATTACGAGCCCAATGGTGTCTGCCACGCCCACAATTTTTCGTGTTGGCAAACTACGCGAGGTGGCCCTTGGTTTGGCGGAGACGGCGACGCGACACCGCCGCGACGGTCAGCGCAGCATCGCACAACGCAGTCTTTCTCATTCGTTTGACGGCGCAGAGGAAGGGTCTCCTGGTGGGCCAGTTGACACACTCGAAAGAGAAGCAAGACCCCCAAGTCCGTCGTCAAACTTAGAGCATCATCCGATTGTCGCAGCTGTCGGCGCAGATGCGGGCGTCCCCGTCACAAACAGTGGCGCGGACGCGACAGAACAGCTTGTGGTTGGAACATCGGCGACAGCACGGCGCGACAGAGCCACTGTTTTGCCGACAGTGGCATTCTATGCCAGCGGGAAGAGTACTGGGGGGATGGATGAGCAGGGAGTCCGGAATGTTGGCAGGCCATCTGCACCGTCTATGGGGAAACGATCCATTGGGAGTGTGGATGGTGGTCGGCACACCGCCATGGCCGAGTTTGAGGACCGACACGGGAGTGCTTTGCCGACGAAGACGTCTGATGTCCATGCTACGAGAGCCGCAAAGGCGAGTCTTTCTCGGGCAAGGAAGAAGGCCTCGGCAAGGAAGGCGTCACGTTCATCCTCACATATGCGTTCCCGAGAGAGAGGATCGGGCGTTGTGCATCTCGAGGACGGAGAGATTGCACCTGACGGCGACGCATTGGATATTGGAGGGAGGGATGCAATGACGGCGGATATCGTCGGCAGGGAGGGCACAGGGAATGCAGTGGCAGGTCAGAAGAGACGCGGCAGTGTACTTATCGTCCACGACGACAACACAAATGTCGCCCCGGGAGAGACCACAGGCACTGATGATGCAGGGGACTCCGATTACGTACCCAAACCACGGGCGGAAGATGGAGATGATGGAGGAGGGCGACGAGTGAGACCGAGGACACGACTCGGGCCGCAAGGGCAGCGAGCACAGGGCACACCATCGGCGATGATTCCTGGCCCCATAGATCGGCGAGCTCAGGCGCAGCGGTTGCTGCGCAAAATGGAGGCCACTCTTCAACAGACGCACGGGTTATCGCTTGGCCGCGAAGAGACGGAGACTCAGAGACAGGGAGAGAGAGAGAGAGAGAGAGAGAGAGAGAGAGAGAGAGAGAGAGAGAGAGAGAGAGAGAGATTTATCAGATACTTGCGCTGGCTGCGTTGTTTGAGAAGCAGGCCCGGGCTATCACTAGGATGGGAGGCCATATGGCCTASSCCCGTAGCATGAGAGCCTATAGCCGGGMAGRCAGAGGCCGTTCAGAAAATTGCTTCACTTCAGCTTGTTGTACTTTTATTTTGTTACCCTCGCAGACTCGCATCCTCGCATCCTCGTAGCCTCGTAGCCTCGCAGAGTCGCAGGTATCTTATTGTGATTGGTTGTTGCCTCTTGTTCGAACTCTTGGGAATCTTGAGAGTATTGTCTGAGGTTGTATTTCTATTCAGATGGTGCAATGTTTTTTTTTTTTTTTTTTATATCTATGCAGAATTGGAAATGGACCAAATGGTGCAATTTTTTTTTTTTTGAGTATCATTGACAAACCTTCAGCCCACATAGCACACCACCCAATCCACATAGTCCCGCGGTACCACCCCCGAGCCCGTGCCGGCGTGCCCGCATAAATGCCACACCCTGCCAAGTTGCCAACATAGTACCCCACCCACCGGGCCACCGTACACATAGTACCGCACCCACGCCCACATGGTACCCCACCCAGCCCACACACTACGTCACTAGACTCACTACCCCTTTTTTTTGTTTACACAATGTCACCATAATTGTCCCCAGCCCAGCCCACTGAGCACACTGCCGAGGGCCACCCTCCCATCGCCTGGCCACACCTGCCCAGCTAGGACACGGGCTACTGGTAGCTACTAGCCAGACCTGCCTGCATCTAGCGGGTCCGTCCACCATTCCCGCAGGGCGCCCACTGCCCAGTGCCCCCAAGGCCCCCAGGGCCCCCAGGGGCCCCAGGGCC